AATATATACATACTGTTTAAGGAAAGAGGTTTTGCCTACGGTTTGGGAAGAGGTTGCATGGTTTTCATAAAATATTGTAACAGAGGTGAACCATGCTGTTTAAATTATCGGCGCATTAATAAATTGACGGATACGCTGTATTATGAATGAACACCTCACAACTGTAAAAAAGCTCATAATTAGAAATTTTTTAAACCGAGAAGTACCCTTTCTTTAAGTATAAAAGTTAAAGATGGCGTAATGAGTACAAGAAATAACTTTTTAGTTCATGTTTTCCATAAAATATATTTGAATTTATAAAGGCAGTCAAAATCAGTGATCGCTTTCCATAAAATATATTTGAATTTATAAAGGCAGTCAAAATCAATGATAAGCGCATGCTACTTAAGTAGCCACTTTTTACAGTACATGCGTTTTTCTAGCGGTCAGAAGGAAGCTCACTAAAAAGCTGGCATCATTTCGTGACTGAAATGACTCCAAAATTACAGTACACGATAATGAGTATTAAAACCTTACTCAATGTCGATTAGCGAAAGATAATCAATCTTTCGCATGTCGGCATGTTACACGAATTCTAGGCCGTACTGTAGTGGTCATTTGAAATGGGGAAGAGGTCCAGTAGAGTAGGTTGCCACTAGTGGTCATGGATCGAGTACGTAAAAGGAAGATCACTGTCACGTGCACGCAGTGAAAAATTGTTGCCAGGTGGTGGTAAAGATATGCGATCGCCACCTGGCGTCGGCAACGACAGATAGAGCGCCTATTTTAGCGTCTTCTGGATACGCTAGCCGCAAAGTCACTGCCACTCCGCGTACTCGACCCATGACCAATACTTACAACTCACCTTATGCCTCCCCTTCTCCAGTCTGGTGACCTCTGCCTGCCGATTTGGCCATGAGAGCCGTATGAAAACGATGAGTTTTAATCATAAAAAAACTCATAAATCCCATCCAACTGTATGATCTTCATTAGCCCTGCGATTGTACAGGTTCGATGATGAATTGTCGAAAAAATATTTTTAGCAAATAGACTTTTCCAGTCGAACATGGGAAGATTGCAGAACTAAGACAACTTGCAATAGGGCCAGATAATAAATAGTTCCAGCAAACGATGTTTTCAAAAAAATAAGAAAATATTTTGTAATATTCGGAGTATCTAAGCCTCTAAAAGTGCAAATATACATTCAATGTATAGGGATAAAATGAATTAGGACTGTTGGTGAACCTACCGTCGGAGAGGTCGACGAGAACAGTCATAATGTCGCCCTCCCTGACATCGATTTCATCTCCCTCGGCTGGCCCATGACTGGTCGTTGCAATAACCTGGCGATAGACTGTAAATAAACAAGTTCGATTTAATCAAAGTAATGACTTCTTGACAGGATTTCTTTCTGGCGTATTGAACGGGTCAAGTCCTTTTATGCTTTTCCTAGAGTTCAGAATAACACATGATGATCCCGATCGAAAAGCGTTACCAATAGAAATTTGGCGGTACTGAAATGATAACTTATGGATAATATCTCGACGCTGCACCGGGAAACCACCAGATTTTAATCTAGGCTTTATTATTTATGGCGATAAATTCTGTAATTCGCAAGAATGTTTGGCGAGCATGCACATGCTTTCAATAAAGTCTCTTCAAACTGTTATAGCCCAGTTAGTTCGGCGTCGCCAGTAGTTATAGCCCGGTAT